AGGTTTCACGGCATCCCCCTTGCACCCCCGCCACTAAAATCGTAATGGACAGACAGTAATCGAATTATTCTATCTGGATAAATGCATTTTGGCTTTTATGACTCCTCCTATTTCGACAAATCAAGCATGACGTGACGTGACACACGATGTTTGTTTTTTTATTATTATTCTTATTCTTTTATATATAAGTTAGACATTTGGTTAGAATGTTTAATATATAGCTAATGTTATTATTTTTAATTTAATTTCTATTATTATATTAAACTTTTATTATGCCTCTCGAAGGTTTAGCGATAAGTTTGAGGATTTATAACGCTGTAAATCATATTTCAATGCTCGCAGTAGGCAGACCACCGATAGCCCATTGTATAGCTATGCGCTTAAAAACAAACATAAAACTTTTACGATAGAGATTGTTTTGCATTGTTAGCTTAATATATGTATTTAGGACAAACCTAAATCTCCTAAGTTGGCCTAACCTATGTGAGATGTTATTGGGTTTACGGCCGAAACATCCTTAAGAGCGAGGGTACTCAAATGATGAAAAAATGCATTCTAATCGTTATAACAAGAACGTAAGGAAAATATATTTAAGTAGGTATAATCATTAGCAGAGTTTTTTATTATTGTCATTAGTTTCGCTGTATTAGCTTGTTCTGATCAGAAGTCAATATTAGTTATTAGAAATTTACTAAATCTCTATACATTTTGATATTTAATTTCTAGATACCAGTTTTATGTTTACGATAATCAAAGATTATCTACTCACATTTTAAAAGCTTCCCAGTTCACGTGTGTCGGGAAGAACAGAATTTCTGCCATTCACTATTTTACGGGAAAGTCGTTTTCCCGTTTCTTGTGTATAATTGCTCTTAAGGTCCCACTTTATTTCGTTAAATTTAGGCTTCGTTTCGAAATTGACTAAATCGTCACTGGAAGCTGGTTTTCCTGGGAGTCGGACGACACGTTTAGACACCAGGGCAGCTGAGCTGGGAGACTCAATCGTTTTATTGGCAGTAAGAGCTTGAGGAGTTACTGTGGTTTCCGACTCCATTGCCGGGTACCATAGGAATACGTGATAGAGAGACAGTACTATCGCAGCTAATGAAACTGAGAAAACATAAGCGAACTCAGTCATTAGTCGGATGATTTTCTTGTTTCGCTTAGTTTCATAAAGTTTGGAGTTGTTATGCGCATTAGAAAGTTTCACTTCACTATCTCTTTCGATGGTAGTTGTTACCCACTCCCCGTCACCCGTATTACTGGGCACGCTCATCTCTCGTTCGTTCTAGTGGCGCTTACAGCAGGTAAACACAGCCGTCGTAATGGAACAAATAATAAACCTGTAACAGAAAATTTCATCAATATCAAGAAGTTAAGATGATCTGAAAAGGGAATTTAGCAGTTTGAAAGGATGACTTTTCTATAGCCTGTACAAAAAAGGTATTCAGTATTACTTAAATGTACGTTGGTATGCGTATAGCATCGTACTGTTGCGTCATCGAGTCACATGACTACAGTGACGCCACGTTTCTAGAACTATCCCGTATCTTGGCGAATGCTCTAGTAATTACTAGATGGAGGGTAGACTGGTATATAAAAGAGGGGAAGGTAATGTGTGGATAGATAGTGAGTAATT